TCATTGTCAACTAAATTTTAGTTTATAAATTGTTTGCCAGTAAAAGATAAGCTAAAATAGTTTTTTTGTTTCGTTGTCTGTTTTAGAACTTTCGCGTAAATCTACCAAAGCGCTAGATAAACAAGAGCAGTGGTTCCCAATAAGGGCCAACAGGCCACATCAGGCCCTCTAAAGCTGATTCGTGGCCCGCAGTATGATCTAATATAGTAAAAGTAAGCAACACTGCATTTTGGGAGTACATTCCCCAACAAATCATACCCGGCTCTTGGCTTTATGGTTGTCAACTGAAATGGTTTAATGTGGAAAATATTTTGGTATCACTGTATTAGAGGGAAAGCTATTAGTAAACAGCTCCCAACGCCATTTCTTGGGGTACTCTTGTATAACCGAATAATGGGATTTGATCGACATGAACTCATTAACCCAAAGTGTGAAGTGCGATATCTTATATGTATTGCGAACCGTGGTGTCTGACGTTCCACTGCCTCCCGTTTGAAAAGCTGCGCACGCAGGCAAAGCTCAACATTCACTTTTGAAATGACGGGAGAACAGGCATGAGTAATGATGGTGCCAAACTGTATGTTACAAGCAGGATATTCTACACTAAGTTGTTAGGAATTAATCACACTATCATTTACATTTCAAAATGTGACATAACTTAAAGAATAAAAATGTAGATTTACCGTATATTATTGTTGAGCGACTTTTAGCATGACTGGAATACTCAACAATTACTTTTCGCGGTGGGCGGCAGAAGCAGCGCTCTGAGTGAAACCATGAATGTAACACAATTAACCTTTTTAAATCCCATGATATGATTTAAATATATGTATTAAATTAAACTTTTCCTGCAACTGAGGGCAGGTACTTTTGCTTGTGTTATATATATATACAGTGATTAGAAGTGAACGTTAGGTCCGTAAATCATGTCACAGCATGATAACCACTAGGCCACGCCTAACCCATCTTAAATGGTATCAACATTATTCAGGTAAAACTTTTTTTTAAAAAACTTAATAACAGATGTGCATTTATATCACCTAAATCTTAATGGTTAGTATTCCGAAAATAATTTTTATTAATAAAGACTGAAAAATGAGCCGTTAGCAGTGTTCTTTTAAATACTTTTAAATACTCCTTGGCATTATTGAGTCATGCTTAAAAACCATAGAAAATTCTTTAGAGTCGTGAGAGTACGTACGTTCTAAAAGCGTTGAAGTGTACAGAGTATTATTTAAAAGCTTTGAGTATGCGTTATGGTATTACTTAATGTTTGTTTGTTTGTTTTGAATTTCGCGCAAAGCTACTCGAAGGCTATCTGCGCTAGCCGTCCCTAATTTAGCAGTGTAAGACTAGAGGGAAGGCAGCTAGTCATCACCACCCACCGCCAACTCTTGGGCTACTCTTTTACCAACAAATAGTGGGATTGACCGTCACATTATAACGCCCCCACGGCTGAAAGGGCGAGCACGTTTGGTGGGATGGGGATTCGAACCCGCGACCCTCAGATTGCGAGTCGAGCGCCTTAGGTATTACTTAATAGCGTTGGTTTATACATGCAAGCATCGAGAGTATCATTTTTAACTTCTGGGGTGCATGGTTTAGTTTTGAAGGTATTATTATAAAATACCTGATTTATATAATATAGTAATTATACTCCAACTGCCTACCATTACTGGCCTTAGAGATAAAAACACTGCCCTAGAATTTGAAAATATATTTATTTGTAGCGTACGATCAGCAGAATTAAACAAAAATATATTTTGTAGGTAAGTTTCAGCAGATTATATCACAATACGTATAGTACTTGGTGATTCCACATTTCTGAAATGATCACTTCGTTACATTAAATATAGCATAATTGTGTAGTTGAGAAAATGGAAGTAGCATTTTTTTACACATTTTACTAAGCCTACATAAATGGAACTTTTCCTTCTGTAGTTAAATCCTTATTTGAACAATGGATTGTTTGTTTGTTTGGAATTAAGCACAAAGCTACACAATGGGCTATCTGTGCTCTGTTCACTACGGGTATCGAAACCCAGTTTCTAGCGTTGTAAGTCTACAGACATACCGCTGTGCTACTGGGGGCTTTTCTGATTTTTTATGTGAATAAGATCACAATAAATATTTTCATTGATGAGCATCATACACAAAACACGTTTAGCATTTCATTAAACAATTTGATATATGTAACATAATGTGAATGTCTATGTATATAACTTATTGACGAAACCTTTATAAACATAGAATTAAATCATTAGAGAGACTTCCTTATGTATAAACCACAGACTGAAGATTTCTGTGAATAAACAAAGAAAATACCTTTAAAAGAAACCTTTTAAGAAATACTTGAAAAACCCATTCAGTAATTGTTTTTCTACAAACCAAGATGTGAAGGGAATTTGTTGGACAAATCATAGGAGATCTTTTATTATGAGTAAACCATGAAAGACAAGATCGAGGAGAGGCTTTACTATGAATAAATCATGAGACACACGTTCATACACAAATAACAATGTCGAGTAGAATAATTCCTTTGAACAGAGCATAAGAGAGAGAGCTTAACGAAAATATACTATTAGAGATACAGACAAGCAAACAAGCGATAAGAGAAAGGATGATAGGGATAAACCATGAGAGATGCATTCCTACGGATAGACCAGGATATAATGATCATTAAGCATAAACCCAAAGATCGATGTTGATGACACTAACCCAAATGAGAGATATTATTTCTTCCATACGTCTGTCTGTCTGTAATAACAAAAGCTGTTTTATTTCCTTAATGTACGATATTCAACGTTTGTTTTGTTTTTTCAGGCAAAGAGACAGGTATATACGTTCTTGTAAGCTGTTACCTGATGCCAGGACACTTATTGTCGGAGGAGAGGCAAGTACCGTTTGTATTTGGGACTTAGGAGCAGCAAGTACAAGAACTGTAACAATTACTATACAAACGTTTAACGATAGGGGAGGCTAGCTTCCTGTGTTTTGAGTTCAGGAGAGATAAGTGTAAATGCTACATCAGTTCCAAGGCAAACTTATGATTTGAGGAGAGATGAACATCATATGTATTTGAAATTTAGGATCGGTAAGAATAAATGCTATACAAATAATTATGTAAGCGATTAGTATTTGAGGATAGTTCAGCATCATATGTACGAAGACCACACTAATCACTATTGAAACATTGTGTTGGGGTGAGGCTAGCCTCATGTGTGTTTGTAATTTAAGAGCAGTTTATTTTTACGTCTTTTATATATATATATATATATCTGTGGCTTATGAATAGTAAGACTCATGAATGGGTGGTTGAAGGTTTTAATAGCTAAAATGTAATCCTTGTTGTTAGCGGAGAACACAAGTCATGGTATATCTGTAATTTACGAATAGTAAGTATACAGATTTTTATGTTATAATAGGTGTTGTGTAATCCCTATTCGTGGAGGAAAGCTAAGTCATGATATATGTCTGTGACTTATGAAGAGTAAGGCTTACGAATAGGTGGTTTGGACGTTTTAATAGTTATAATGCAATCCTTGCTGTTAGAGGAGAACAAAATTCATGGTATATCTATGACTTATGAATTGTAAGTATGCAGACTTGAAAATTATATTATGGTAGGCCTACGATGTAACCCCAGTTCGTGGAGGAAAGCTCAAGTCATGATATAAGTCTGTGGCTTATGAACAGTAAGTGTGTCATATTTCAAGGTTTTAATAGTTATAATGTAATCCTTATTGTTGGAGGAGAGCTCAAACCATGACAGAGTTGTGACTTATGAACAGTAAGTGTGTCAGATTTGAATGTATTAATAGATCCTATGTAATCCTTGTTGTTGGAGGAAACTCAACTCATAATATATCTGTGTCTTAAGGTGGTAAATGTGGAAATATAAAGGTTAACAGATTCAGTGTGAGTCTTGTTGTTAGAGGAGTGCTCAATTCATGTGACTTATGGCTGAAATTGTGCATGTTTGATATATATGTATCAAAGGCTAAAACATTCACTGTTTGTATAACTTTATTTGGAAGAGATGTGTGTTTATGTGCCTTATGAAACCAGTTTCATCATAACTTAAATCTAAAAGAGAGGCCAGTAAACCTTTGTTATTAAAATATTTAAAGAAAGTCAGATTTGAAACTTGTATCTATATATATATTCACGATGTCAGAAAAATACGTAGGTTCAAGAAGTCTTGATACAAAATGATAAAAACGCTATAACCCGAGAGCTTTCCAAAGGTGAACCTTACTTATTCAGGGGCAAACTGGAATAAAATTGCAATAAAATATCTCTATTAGTTGTAATTTGGGCCTCAGCTCATTGATTGTTATTAGATATACACGAATGTTTAAGTTTAATGTGTGTGTTCTCATTTAGGTAGCTTAAGTATAGCGCAAGTGTTAAATTTAGTTATTTTTATAACGATAGTTCATCGCAGGTTTATTTTTGTAACTGTGCGGATCATATGTTGTAGAGTTCAATTGTTGTGAATTGATATTTGTTGTATTAGTGCATCATGTTACTAGAATCTTCTAGGTTTTCTCGTTGTTTTAACTGATTATTATTACATCATAATATCTCGTTGTGTGTGGAATGTTCTAGGTCTCGGTCAGGCTACAAAAAAAGCGTCCAAAATATAGTTCGAGTTAGTTAGTTATATACTTAGATAGAAAAGACAGATCTAGACTGAGTTATTGTGAGTTTAGCCATAAATAGCATATAGTGGCAGTTTTTAATTGTAAAATTATCACAGAATGTATTGTAATAACAGTGCAGAAAGAATAATTAGTCTTGCTAAATTATTTTCTAAAGTAACTGAACCAGCCTATGTGGACTTTGACCGAAAAAGGGCTCTGGATACAACTGTGATAACAACAGTGTAAAGAACATTTGTATATACGTTTGACTTGTTTTATATATTATTTCAAAACAAGTGGACTGTTTTTCAATGCCCCAGCATGCTATGCTCTTGTCATTAGTCCCGATGGGAAGATGTGCTTCAGCTGCTGTAGCGACGGGAACATAGCTGTTTGGGATCTTCACAACCAAGCACTTGTGCGGTAGGTTTACTTTGCTACTGATTATATTTTGATCTTTCTTAGCTTGTCCACTATAGTAATCCTTAACATATTAAGTCTAAACTCATGAATAGACTTAATACTGATGCAAAATATTAGGTCTAAATTCAGAGATAGTCTAATTATTGAAGCAAAATATCAGGTCTAAGTTCAGAAATAGGCTTGATATTGATGTAAATATCAGGTCTAAATTCAGGGATAGGCTTAATATTGATGCAAAATGTTAGGTCTAAACTAATTATTGATGCTAACGTCGCACACTACCATGATAGATCTAAGTCCCGCCTTTACTATGATTTTGCTACTACATTTTGTATTCAGACATTACATCCATTACAAGATTGGTTGAGATATCATTAAACTTGCAAGGACGTGTTGATGTGATCCCATTACGACACTCTTTTTTTGGTATAAATTGTACACGTTTAGAACAACTACGATAAGAGCAAAACTTACAAAAATAATGGTGGTACGAGAATTTCGGCTCACCTTGTTCATCTTGTAATGGAACAATATAAAACTACGAAATAATTCAGCAACAGATAACTATCAGGTAAAATTATATATACAATTATACATAATAATTAGTATGAATTTTTTTAAATGCTTGACGCTTATTAACTAGTTGAATACAGTTTCTCTTCTGGTTTCGTTTGACGTATCTTTTAATCCTCTACTAATACGCAGTAAAACGCTATAAAATTACAGGTGGATTTTAATTCTTGTATAGTTCATCAAATCCTGCAATTAGAATACCCCTTTAGAAAAACAGTTATAAGGAAGTTTCTCTTGGTCTCTGCTTTTTTTTTTAAGTAAAGTAGTTAGAGTGTCAGAAAGTTTAGTAAATCTCAGCAAAGACATAAACAGTAGTATCATTGATAGCCATTCACTAAGTTTAAAATAGTTGAAAATACTTAATATACTTTTCTTATGATATATATTGGTCTTGTTTGGTTTTGATGTATAGTCCTTTTCTTTACACTGATGAGCCGTGAATTCCGTGAAACTAGTCTACATCAGTGGAAGTAGAGAATCAAAAATGGATTAGGTCTCTACTTCATATTTTCTTCACCAAAAATATGGTGAAGCAAGGAAATTAATAAATAAATATATTGGTATTTTTACCTTTGAAGCCAAAAGAAGGGAAGCAGACCATAAGACATGTTTATCACATATTTCCCAATTAAGTTGAACAATGCATTTTAATATTATTCTATCCTTTTTATTTATTTAAAGCATCCATTTCGAAAACAATTGGGATATTTTTAGACAATTCCAAGGTCACACTAACGGAGCCAGTTGTATCGACATATCTAACGATGGAACCAAGCTTTGGACTGGTGGCCTAGATAACACAATAAGGTCCTGGGACCTGAGAGAAGTAAGTTGCTTCCTTACTTGTTATGATAGATCCAAGGTCCTTAGATAATCGTATTAACTTTGTTCTGGTGGGCTAAATAACACAGTGACGTTCGGGTATTTTAGAAAGATAAATTGTTTCACCTGGTGAAAGGAAGTACTACAACATCAAAGAAGTTTAGAGTGGTGAATTAACTGTGAATTACATAATAACATGATAAATCCTAAGATCTTAGAGATTTATATTATATTAACACTAACAGAATATTACAAGATATAAAGAGCTTAGAGAAATGAACTAACTGTGGTTTAGTGGACCAGATAACAAATTAATTAAATGATGATTATAAAATAGGGTAATAACATTAAGAACTTCTATGTGAAGAAGAGAAGCTGCCTAAAATGTAAGTATCAAAAGTATTATAATACTTGGCTAGGATAATGATATTGCAGGATTTTTTAATTGTGATCGTTTCTCGTATAAGGGCTGTGCGTTTCATGGTTTCCATCAACCAATCCTCATATTTTATGATGGCGACAATACGATTTTTGTACAACAGATTCCAAGTGCACAAAATATAATGTGTCATCATTATAAAAGTGTATGCTTCTGTGTCCTAGATAAGCCAGTACAGCCAGATTCTTGTATTTTTAAATAAGTTAAAAATATTAGGTTGCTGGATCCTTATGTAATACAAATAGATTCATGTGTCTTTAGGTAAGCTAACACTGTAGGTTCCTATCTTTTTTATGAACTAGAATTACTAGATTGGTGTGTTCTTAGATAAACTACTGCTACTGATTACCTATACTTTAAATAAGCTAGTAGTGCCATATTCTAGACCTTTAGGTTATATCGATAGTACTAGGTTGCTACTTAGATTGTGCTATGTTACTAAGCCTTTAGATAAGTTAATATTTCATGGTACCTACATTCTTAGACAAATTAGGTCCATCAGTTATTCAGTACTACTAAATTTCCTTGCCCTTGGGTAAGCTAATACTACTAGATTTCCTTGCCCTTGGGTAAGCTAATACTACTAGAACAAGATGCCTTTTATCTTTACCTAAACTTATACTACTAGGAATCTTTGTCCATAGGTAAGATAATATTACTAGGTGCCTTTATCCTTAGATAACCGAATATACTTAAACTGTTATGCTTCTGTGTCTTTGTACAGTTTTTGATGTTACTGTTGTTATTTTTTAAAAATTTAAACAAAAATCCTTATGAAATTTTAATTCTAGGGTCGGCAATTACAACAACATGACTTTACATCACAAATATTTTCGTTAGGATACTGTCCAACTGGAGACTGGCTTGCCGTGGGGTAGATATATGTTATTCTAAGTATTTGTTTAAATTTTTATTATGGTGTATATATTATTGTAATAAATAAATATTCATGAGTTATACCGTTAATCCACCATTATTTGTGTCTTTTTTTTTTAGATAATTTCCTTTTGTAGGGTTAAACAAAATTATAATTCCACACTCATTTAAGAGAGGAATGATGGTGAGGTTTATAGTGTTTAGTTAACATTCTATATTTGTAATGGCATAACTGATAATAATAACACACGCTACTAATAAAGGTTCTACTGCAGTGATAATAATCTATATTCCAAATACAGAGTATAAGTTGTAAAGAATAATTTATACATCTGAATTGACATGTAATATTATAACATTTTCAGCAATATACCATACTTTTATAGAATGCCAAAAATAGTCGTGTTAGTAGCATTTGAACAATAATCAACGCTCTAAGAAGAGTATACATGTGTTTTGTTATAGACTTACCGCTGTACCACCGAGAGACTAGAGTATACTAAGGTTGAAATAGCCAAGGAGCTAATTGATGTAGCATTACAATGTATTAGTAAAAACGAAACTTTAAGAACATTTCTCAAAAATATTCACCTCCAAGACATTTGCCCCAGAGGCACAGCGATATGTCTGCGGACTTACAACGCTAAAATCCGGGTTTCGATACCCGTGGTGGGCAGAGCACAGATAACCCTCTGTGTAGCTTTGCTCTTAATTACATACAAACAAACAAACCAAGACATTTAATGCTTCGTATATCATTTAGCAATTTCCAATCTAAACATAAAAAACTATGATCAACTTGATAATTCAAGCATGGGAAACTCTCTTGCTCAATCCCTTGGCCAAACTGTGTTTCAAATTAAATACATTGATCTTAATTCCGTCATGTGTATTCCTTGTTTTAGATGCAATATGTTGATGATACTTTTATGATCATAGAGATGTTAAAAGTTCTAATAATTGTTTTAAATTTGTTAATCAAATTCTTCCTAGCTTAACCTTTACAAAACAAAAAGGAACCTCTATTAAACTTAAGTCTGGTGAGGTTTCACCCCAGAAGCTTATAGAAAACCTAACCATACTAGTCGTTTATTTTGAAAACTTAATACATTCTGCAAAGTTCACCCATAGCAAGTTCTCCAGCGAAATGTCAGTGGAAATTTATTGTTGAAATTATTATTATTCTGCTCAAGCTACGGGTTCAATTTTTAGTGACTATTTCAGTAACAAGTCTAACTCTTTACTGTTTGTTTTTAACTTGTGCCTTATACTGTGTGAAACAGTAAGGCACACAAAAATCTATTTTGACTCAATTTAAGCTTTTTATATCCTAGACAAAATGAGACAAGTTTTCGTTATAGAGTAGACTGTTTACAGTGTAAATAATTTACGTTGTAGAAACATGTTGAGAGTCGATTGTTCGATTAAAAGAATACACACACCAGCCGTCAAATGTCTTTGAATATGCCAAGCTAAATCGTCATCACAATATCAATCTTGATCATGCCCAGGTTTTAGTAGTTGACAGTTTTGTTCATTGTATGTTTATTGTTGCTTGTCTTGTTGTCTGATGATACCGTAGTTAACCTAGTGAAACGTTGCCTGTGCCAATTTTCTGTTTTCATTCTAAAGTTTGGCTGTTGACATTTTATAACGTGATATTGATAAGTTATGGAGTTTGTCATTATCTCTGAAATATGTAACCTGATCAAATTCAAAATATTTCAAAAAGCCACCGAAAAATGAAGACCTCATAAAAACATAATATTTATTATTATTATTATCTCTTTCTCCTGAAATTCATTCCTAATTTTTTTCCTTAACGATTCCAGAAAAATGTTACTCATTTCAAAATAGTTTTATTATAACTAATGTGAGGAAATTTATATTTACCATTTTATTTTAATTTACATTTACATTGATAATAGGGAAGTGTGGGGTAAGACGGCCACCTTAACTTTAAATGCAGTTTTCAACAATTAAGACCAATGGCATGAAAAAATAGAAATGTTTAAAATTAACCCTTTGTTATTGTAAGTGTTATTTCTATTTAAAACCAATATTGAACACAGACATTTTTAGATATTGAAAAAATGCACTTCTTATGGTTGGGGTCGTCTTACCTATAAGTTTGGATAAAACTGACCCTCAAGATGAGGTAAAATGCCCCGCCCCCCAATCTAACTCGTAATAACTGCAATTTAAAATAAATGATGCATTTAGAAATTGTTCTTTAGTCAACAAAATCATCTTTTAAATGCTTCTGACAGGGATCAAGCTACTTTGTAACTATAAAATAACCAATGGGCTTTCTTTAGATCAAAGTTGTTCAAAACAAAACATTTTACATTTGCGCCTGTCCGCCAGTAGTTATGTATAATTCACTTTAGATGGCAGCATACCGTACCTGACGATATACAGTGATGGCTGTGTTGCCAAAGAGGGCCGTCTTACCTTATTTTCTATACCTGTTATTATTTACAAAACTACGGTCTTGTCAGTAATACAAAAATTAGCCTGTTATTGATATTAGGACAGCTTGCCTTTTTCAAGGTAAGGTTACATAGTATTAAAGCACCACTACTCAATGAAGATGAAATCCAAATAACCAATATTAAATATAAGTTGTTTTCTAAATGCAAAACCACACCATGGACTATCTGCACTAGGTCCACCGCAAGGAATCTAATCCCAGGTTTTTGCATCGTAACTCTGTAAACTAATTGCTGAGCCATCAGGTACTAACACTGAGAAGACAGTAATTTGCAACTAAGGAAACTAAAATTTACAAACATCCTAAGTTACTGTTATAATTAAACATTAAATAGTTCTTCAAATGAGTGCAAATTTTAATTCTTCCGTTGTGGTAGAAGGACTTATATAGTAACATTACTACTCCTGAACTGTCACTATTTAAAAAAATATATGCAACAAGTTCTTTCAGCAGTTCTGTTTCTTGGAATTTCCACATAAAACAAATTACTTTCAGGGTGAGAACTATAATTGTAACCATCGTTACATATCTAAGCGCACACAAAATATATTTATTTCAGAAGAAAATCCATATTAGCAGCTGCTGCATTATTTTCCTTCGTAATTGTTGTTAATGAGTCTAAGATGTTTCCTGTTGTACAGAATGGAGAGCAGCAACGTGGAAGTTCTTCATTGTAGCAAGCCAGACAAATACTAGTTACATCTCCATGAAAACTGCGTTCTGTCTTTGAAGTTCCCGTCTGTGACAAGTGGTTTGTCAATACAGGGAAAGACAACCTTCTTAATGTCTGGAGGACGCCTTATGGGGCCAGCATATTTCAAGTATGACACTGTTTCAATAGTCGCTTTATCTTCTTTACTTTTCTTTTAAACTTTAATCATCGCCTAGATTCAGTACAAGTACATGTTGTTTTGTTTATTTTTTCTATTACAGTGTGCAGTGAAACGGAAAACTAAATCTAGGTTTCAAAACTATTGGAAATTCAATCTGATCAAAAGTATAAAATATTAATATTAATTTTATTAACTTTATCATTGGATTCAAAGTGATTTAAAATGAATTTAATCACTTTGATATACCTCTTTTATATTTCAGAAAAATACTGTTTAGTTGGAATTTTGACCAATGTTTTCTTCCACAATGTAAATGCTTATATTTGGTTATTTCAGTCTAAAGAGGTTTCTTCTGTTCTCAGTTGTGACATGTCTACCGATTATAAATACATTGGTATAGGATCTGGAGATAAAAAAAAGCCACAGTGTATGAAGTGATATATTAAAACACGATAAGAATCGGAGATTAGGATTCAAGACAAAAAAGGCAGTAAAGAAAATAAAAACGAATCTTCGTGTCAGTCACTTGATCTGAAGTGCAAAACTTTCTTGCAAAGACCAGAATGAATAGAGAGCTTGGTTTCTGCCATTCTAGTGGAACGTGAGAGTAGAATAGTGCATGACTCGAAAAACTTTCGGAGTGCTTTTGAAATGAAGTATTTTTTGAATAACTTGCAGTCGCTATCAATACATTGAGGGCATAAAACAGAAGTCGAAGTAGTCAATTTCTTATTTCTTAATGGATCCATGTGATTCAAACACAAGGATATGCTGGTGAAGCTCAAGGTCAAATTTCCTAAAAATTTTCATAATTATCGAATACTGATCCTATAATCTTCTTTTTTTTAAAAGTGGACTTGTTTTTATAGTGAATAAAGCTGCGTGATACACGTAATTACCTTACAGTCCGCTTTCATGTGATATTTATGATCTGAAAATGTTACAAAACAGGCTATTTTATCGTGATTTCCATAATATTTAAATCAGTGCCGAGAAACATTTTGGAAAATAATCCATAAGTTGTGATAAAATAACTCGGATTCGTTCCATAGCTTCATTTGCGAGATCTGTGACAAATAACACCTTTTTAAGATTAAAAAAAATTACAGTTGTAAGTTAATATATTTTTTCTTATCTCAAAAAGATTTTGTTGAAGGATTTTAGCCATCGATTTGTTTGCACTCTTTCGCAGCTTGAAGAATCCGAATAGTTCATGACTGATATCCAAAGTCTATCTATCTATATATATGCTACTAGAACTTAACAGTATATTGTATGGTTTTACGTTGTATGACAATTAAGTAATTAAAAATAAACTTATTTTAATTGAACGAAGTAGTTATATATTTCTCCTAAAACAATTAAAGGGACGTTCTCAGGAGGTTGATGAATCCCAACCACATTAGCGAATTACAAAAAATCACTCAGTCCAGATAAAAACTTCTGTTCTCAGAATTACTTATTGTGTAAAATATTGGACTTTTTCTGATGTAAACTGATATTTTTTCGTATCAAAATCATATTTTAATACCAGACACTCTATCATAAAATAAATACTGAATAGCGAAACGTCTTAAACATTGCTTAGAAGGTAAGTTTTTGTAGTAATTTTCATCATGATATCAAGTTAATAATACCCCCTCTATTTTGTTTACGTATCAGTTTGATTAT